GCCAACATTTAATTGGATAAAGGAAACTATAAACAACACAAAGTTGAAAATGTCTTGAACATATTTTTTTAACTACAAAATAATTTACAAATTATTGATTAATTTTATCAAATTTTGATTTACGAACGCTTATCAAAATTTTATTATGCTGCTATTAAAACGACGTATTATGTAGGATTTTGTATTTTATTATCAAACTTTTAAATATATCTTAATATTAAAAAAAATATATATATTTAAAAAAATTTAATTTTAAATGTCTATTAAGTTTAAAATTAGCATAATTATTTTGAAAATTTTGAAAATTTTGAAAATTTCATTTACTACTGGATATTCATAAAAAAAATTAAGTATTTTTACGCTTACTTTTTTTAGTTCAATCAATACTGTTTATTGTTTTTTATCTGTACCTATACATTAAGAATATAATTTTATAAGTAACATAAGCATAGGCGAATCTACATGGTGTGCCTGGCGTGCCAGTGCACACCCTGCGACTCTTATAAACCTGCGTAGGGCCCATAATACTCATTTCAGTTACAATGATATTGAGTAATGAGTCTAAATATTAAACAATTTGTTTTTTAATTTTAATACGTTTTTATGGCTGCAAATATTGTCAATAAATATTATAGTGATAAACATATTTGATAAAAGATCAGCAATATTTTCAAAAAAGAGGAAACATGACTGTTTATTTATAGCACGGCTATAGCCGTAATTTATAGTCATAATCATAGTTATTTTATGTAATTTAATTTTACCAGTAATTATCATTTTTATAGTTATTGACAAAATGAAAAATACTTTATTTCGTATTAAGTATTAACATTTAACATAGAAGTATTAAGTATAATATCATGTCACCTATTACTAGATACCAGTTATATTATACAATATTCATACAATTATTTGTTATTAATAATAATAAAAATGAGATATTATATTAAACTTCCGAGAATTTTAAACATAAATGATTAACAATTTAATTTTTGGTTGTAAGTATGTCCAAAAAAAATAATTGAGTAACATATATTGAACATTGTAATAGTTGTAGTTTATTAAATTGAATAATTTTGAAACATTACATGTGTATTTTACAGCATGAAAAATAGCATCTAAACTAGGTAATAAAAATTAATCTTAATAATATTATTTAATATAATTAATGTTATTTCAAATGGGAAACATATTTTAAACGTGTGATAATTGAGAGGAATTTTGAACTACAGAGGGTCTTTTTGAGATGAAGGCACACCCTGCCTATGAATTCCTAGATTCGCCTATGAACATAAGATGATTAAAACTTAACACTTATTGAACCTTATTATCAAATTTGTTTACATATGAGCTTAATGTGTAGTTTGCTTAAGATTATCTCTCGTCTCTGTTTAGCTATGTTTATATGTACACTTATTAATACTTTGAAGATAGACATGTTTATAAAATATTATATATTATAGTGTTTTCACGACTACTTAGTAGTAATTTATAATATTTATTAACGTTCTGAACATTCTAATAACAACTAACATTAAATTACCTTAGGTTAAGACATGTAAATATTCTTTAAACTGAATTAGTGTGATAGATTTTTCTAGTTGTAAGCATTAATAGCACCACAAAAGATCTGACATACAAGGTCATCAAGCTTATTGATAAGATAACAGAAAATTTAACATTTAGAATAATTGGTAACTGCAATTGATTATAATATTTGCACCAAATTTTAGAAATTTACATCGATAAATAAATATATAATGATACAAGAAAGAATAATTAATTTAGGTGTAGTATTTTCCTTTTAATTTATTGATATATTATTGGTGTTGAGAAGGGGAAAACAAGGACGTCCACGCTTGAGACGTCAGAGGGTAGGTTTATCGCTGAGCTTAAAATGTTTTGCACTTTTGACGTTGTTTAGTTGGCCAAAAAAATTTATTGTGAGATTGTGTATGTAGGTTTTAATTGTTGGGAGTTTGAAGTCCTTCGTTTTTGATGAACCATGGCGCGTTGGATACGTAAAACCTTAATAAAAGTTTAAGACATGGAATTAGGTAATTTATGTGGTTATATTTAATCCTCACTTTTCAGATAATGCAGTGTATAGTTACCTAATCTATATTATTATGTCTTAGATCACTATAAAATATAGCTCGCTGTATACACAGTTTGAAATATCAAATAATAACTTAAAAATTGAATTTGAATTGAGAACAGAAAACAAAAATATTCACTAATATTTTAACACAACAAATTAACTGGATATTATAAATACATTTTAGAATATACTGTTGAATATTTATTTATTAATTTAGTATAAGTAAAGAAGATTAAAACATAATATAGATGACATATCGTAGCGCAATATAAAACCAACACGATTACGGTTGATATTGAAAATAATAACGTGATGCTTAAAATATTTGTTTAGAGTAAAGAATTTATGCCGGTAAGTACTAAATACCAACAACGGATGTCATAAAATGGATGAGTATGATATATTTTCTATTTTATTGATTTATCGCATCAGTTGGTTGACCGAGAACATTTTAAACATATTTAAAGTTTAATTGGATAAATATAATAGACGTTCAGGATACCACGAAAATTAGTTTTTTTGAAATTATGAATTTAAATTCAAAATTTTGTATTACCAATTTATTGTAAAAGTTAGATTGTTTGAGTATTATAATATTGTGTGTCTTATATTCGTTATAACTTCATAAGATCTTGTCAAAAATTAAAACAACAAAGAATGTTATTTATTAATTTATTATCGTACGTTAAAAATAGGTTGAGCATTATTTTAAATAACTCTGGCTAACATTTTCGTAAATTAGCAGCTATGTGGGTAGGCAAAATCCATGAACTTAAATAATATTATTAAATTTTCATTTTATGTAATTTAAACTCTCTTGGAGAGGATAGAAAAAGGTGATTTAGAGAATAATTATAACCCATTATTACTGAAACACGTTTTAATTTGACACTAAAGCAGTGAATATCCAGTAGAAAACTTTTAGTCATTATACAAATAAAAATACTGTTTTAAACTTATTTAAGAAATAATTTTAGATTCTGAGTGGAGCGTGGAATGTATTGATTTTACAATGATGT